CCCCCCCCCTCACCTCTCTGCCCCCCTCCTCTCAGCCTAGCTTTTTGTCGCTGTCCCTCTATTCTCCATTGTGTTTCTGTCTGGCACTGTCTCACACAGATTTAATGTCAGGTGTTCTCTCACTCTGTTAAATAAGTCATTTTTTTCTGTGCCTGGAGGGGACAGAGCCCATGTTTCCGCCGCCAGCCACAACCATCACCACTACACACACACACACACACACAGAGACTTATTTTTCTTTTTTGTGTCTCCAGTGTGGCTTACGACCCAGAACCACAGCACTCTGGTAACAGAACGCAGCGCAGTGCCCTTCCTACCGGTCAACCCTGAATACTCTGCCACACGCAACCAGGTAAAACATACACACTAATTCATACACAAACCTCCACTGCAGATAATCACAGGTGGCATGCATATTCTTTTACCTGTATACAAAGACAAGATTAAGAAAAAAGAAGAAACTAAAGTGTAAGAAAAAAAACAGAGCGTAGAGATATGTTAGACTGACAGTGTATGTGTTTTTATGGGGAAGCTTAGAAAGAGTGTGAAATTGACAAGGGATGTTCTTCAGCTGTGAAAGAGGAGGAAAGATGTAATCCATCTGTGTTTGTCTCTCTCCCCTCACTCTGTCCCCCTCTTTCCCTCGCTCTCTGTGTGTGAGAGAGAAATCCCACATGTTCTCTCACATAGTTTCTCCTCATCTGTGTGGCTCATTGGTGTAAACATTGACTTTTAACACGAGCATACACACACACACGCAGAAAAAACACCCACATCGCCACGTTTGCTCTGCACTGATTGGGCAGTTCACTGTGGTCAGGAACTTGCTGTCTGTTTATGGTGGGAAACAAAAGAATCACACGCATTTAGAGTTGAACTTCTTGCCGTCTTTGTCTTTCAGAGTGGGGTGTTGTGAACAGCACATTGCATTGTGTAATAGTTGTGTGTTGTAGTTTAGCACTTCAGTGGAAAGTGACCTTTTTATTCTCTTCTATGGATGCCAGCATGCTAGTGTAATTGCACGGTTTATGTTTCTTTCCTCATGTTTGTGTATGTGTGTGCACACTTGTGATGATGTGTATGTGAGTGTGTGTGTTAAGTATGACAGTGTTTTTCCACAGCACATGGTCGTTTACCACAGTAGTCACACAGGCATTGAACCGCTGACTGTGGACTGGATTATATCCGTATTCCACTCAACTCATAATAGAACTTTTGAGATAAATTTCAGATGGTCGTGCCAGAGTGTGTGTATATATAATAATCAGAGACTCATTCTTCTCTCAGGGCCGCCAGAAGCTAGCCCGTTTTAACGCTCGGGAGTTTGCCACACTCATCATCGACATCCTGAGTGACGCCAAAAGGAGACAGCAGGGGAAAGGTCTCAGCAGCCCAACTGGTGAGACACTATGAGGAAGGCACGGAGAGAATAGGACTGAGGGCTGAAGGCAATTATAAAGCTTCTTAAAGAATAAAAACATGGGCATATAACTTAACCTAGTAACAAATATGGAAAGACACAGGTACTTTTCCAAATACCTTCTCTGCACAACAATAATGACATTTCAGAAGTAAATGTCATTATCATTGCAAGCATCCGCCAGGTCCAGCAATTTCGTGATGTAGAGAAAAATTCTGATTTCTTTATGATTTATTGTTTAAAGCGTTATATCTGTGCAAGATGGTTCCTAGATATATAAGCACATTTTTCCTTTTTTAGATCCATTGGATCTGGGCATTGATGATGACCAGCATGACTATGACAGTGTAGCCTCTGATGAAGACACAGACAGCGAGCTGACCACCCAGAACAACAACAACACACAACGCAGCAACCGTGCAAAGGTATAGTACCTAAACACACACAACTTATTTGGGGGAACTATTGTCTTGTCACATGCACACTTAGCACAAAGCTAAGACCTAGCTTTGATAAAATGCAACAACCTTTTCAAGATAAAATGTACTAATAAGCGCTACTAAAGGTCTGCACATGCTGACACACAAGTAGTTTTTAAATGTCATTCAACAATTCAGCCCTGTTCTTCTTACTTGCTTCTGGAACTATTAGAAAAGTAGTTCCGCCAGCTAGCAAAGCTTTTCCATGGTTTCCTTTTTTATGACTGCTTGTCCCAGCATGCTTTGCGGGGAGTGGCCACAGTCAGAGCAGCCACATAGCTCCTGAGTGACGACATCAGCTATTCTGGGTCCTTGTCAGAGAAGCATTGTTCATACAGAGAGAGAGAGAGAGTGTGTGTGTGTAGCAAGAGGGAAGAGAAGAGGCGATGGAACGAGAGTGAAAGAGAGGAAAATGGTGCAGATTGGGAGTGGTAGAAATGACAAAGCTAAACAACAGCTCAACCAGTAACTATCTCCTTTTCCTGTGGACGTGTTTAGCTCAGTGGGCAAAACTCTGTTAAACCACAAGTCAGAGGTTCCACTCCCATCTCCTCTTTAGAGCTGCATGCATTCATTATTGTGTTGTGCTTGTAAGGCTGAAGAATGGTATCAAATGTCACAGCATTCAAGGATTCAAGGAAATTATCATAACATCATACAACACAAAGGTTGTATAACGAAATGAAAGGTTTGCAGCTCCTTTCATGCTAAATGCTGGGGCCTGCCGGATGATATGGGTAAAAACATCACAAAGGGGGGATTATTTGTGATGCAATGTAATATAATGAGGCACATAACAACAAACTTATTGCATCTTAAAGATGTAATTCTCTGAAAAAACTATTAGCCATGATGATGATAAAACAAACATGTTTCCTTAAATCTGGAGAGCAGGATTTTTAGGGACAGGGCATCTTTTCAGAATTACACTACTTCATTATAATACTGTTTCGTCACAGATTTGACCTTTTAGTACACTTCTGAGATTTGCATATTGCACTTATCCATAGTGCGAGTTCGATAATATTTCGATTCAGTGTGCAGCCCTACTACATACATAGAAAAGGATAATTAAACTCATAGAATAACATAGAAAATAAATAAAATAAACCGATATACAGTCATTTATATATTCATATTTACATGAACGTATACACCCAGGAAATAATTCTGCAGTCCGTCTTTTGAATTTGCGACTGGAGAATGTAAACAGCAGCAATAAGATAATAATGATAATATGGTTTCATCTTCACATAAAAAAAACAGTGTCCATCCACTTTGACAGCATTTGAGCACTAAGCATCATCAGTGTAAATAACACAGAGTCCGCCTACTCTCGTCCTACGCACTGTCGCCTCCGAACACTGTCCGCCCATCGAGTGCTTGAGCCGAGATGTTGATGGAGCATGTCTCTGTAAAGATGTGGGCACAACAGTCTCCTGTCGTCTGGCCAGCCTGAGTCCCATTTTGTCCAGACCGGCTCCTGTCCGGCTCTCTTTCCTCTACTCTTGAAGCGAAAGCATGCGCTGTGGTGGAGCTTCCTTTTCCGATGTCTGTAGGCTGTTTCTGTCATAGGTAAAAGGTGTTTCAGCAATAAAGCTGAAAACCGAATAAGACAAAAACAAAAAAGGAGCTAACAAACCGACCGGAGCCCTTAAAAATCAAACCCAATCAGACATCATTCACTGATGTTTCAGCAATAAAGCCGAAAAAAATTATTAAAACGAAAATGTAGCAATTTTGAATGATCTCCATATACTTATGCAGCCGGTAGTGTACAGCGGTGGTATTATCCATAGTACTAAGTGGAGACATCAGAGTTACATAGACATGGATTGGGTTAGAGGTGCGTGAATAGTAAACTGCTTTGAATAATGGTGTAAGAAAGAGGTTTTAAATGGTTCAGTTTCAGGGTGTGGTATGGGACTGAGTTTGCTCCAGGGTCACAGGAAATGGGGGAAGATGGTGCATTGAGAACAAGAACTAAGGCTCTACTGTCTGTATGTGTGTGATCAGCCTCGGCCAGCATTCTTCCTCTCACACAGATGTAAGCTCTGTTTTATCCAGCTGACAAGGCACTGACTCACATATTCCCATATTACCACAGCATAATAACTGTATATCATAGGATGATGTCAACCTAAACCAGCATGCATGAGGTAGTTTGTAATAACACACAGAAAAGAGGTTTTCCACATGGGTTTATCTTCACAAGCCTCATGATGTTTGTTTCCTCACTTTGTCTACACTTTTCTGTCCACCTCTTTGTGTTTCTGTCTGTCTTTCTACCCGTTTGTCCGCCTGTCTGTATGTCCTATCAATCCAGAGTATGGACTCGTCAGACTTGTCAGACGGTCCCATCACACTGCAAGAGTACCTGGAGGTGAAGAAGGCCCTGGCCTCCTCAGAAGCCAAGGTGCAGCAGCTGATGAAAGTCAACAACAACCTGAGCGAGGAGCTCCGGCGGCTCCAGAAGGAGGTAGGGAGTATGGAGGGGGGGGTGAAAGGACGAGCAGAGAAAAATCAGGCAAATACGATCAGAGGGTCAACATGTGCAGAACCTCAACCACAACAGAATGTAGAGAAATACAGAGCAGGAGCTTATACTCAATGTGTTATTTCTTTAGCTTATTTATTAAGAGAGGAGAGCAACAGGGGGCAGGAAAGAGAGATGGCACGATGCAAGAAAGGTCAGCGTGAATTGTTTCTCAGATAGGTGAACGTGAAAATCAAAAGTGAAAATGTTGGATTATGAAATCATATAGAGGATGATGCCGAGATTGAAGAACACACAAGACAAAGTGACAAAGACAAGTTGGCAGAATGAGAAGGAACAATTGATTCAGACAGAAGGAGGGCAGGATGATGGAGAGACAAGTGAATATTTGAATATTTTTGTGAGCTGATGTATTTTTCCTGACAGGGTGTCATTTTCCTACACTGTTGTCTAAGGAAGATGTATTTGGTGACAGCTTCTCACTGTTATTCAGTAACTAAACCAGTTGTCATTATCATGTGGAGAGGGGTTGCTACAAATACCCGTTCTCATTTTAGCTGTCGTATTTAGTTTAGACAGTTTTCACTTAATAACGCTCATTTGTTCTTCATTGTCACTTCATTTGGTTTCCTGTGAGTCATCATCACTAGCTCATTGTGTTCATTAGTGGCTGCCAGTGTCAGCTTATGACCCGTGTTTCATTGCTGTGTTTGTCACTTGACTGAAGATTAGTGAAGAGTTGAGGCAAACGTGTGCACACTCACACTGCAGAAAACCAATAATGTGGTCAAATGAGATGGTAGTCAACAGCACCTTAGTGCAGGTGAGCCCTCATTTCCCTTCACTGACCCTTGAAAACAAACTATGTATATACTGTATATACAGGTATGTAGCCTCCCACCCCATTCCCAAGACTAATAACTGCCTCAACATGTAACCTACTGCAGTCTTTACCACACATTCCCTCCCTCCCCACTACTGATATGAGTTAATATGTATGAGCCTTTTACTGTAACTGTGATTGTGGATGCTTGTCTTTGACCATTCAGTTGACACCCCCTCCCTTCCCTTTAACCTCTCCATGTCCCTCCCTCCATCCTCTCATCCCTCCCTGCTCCCTTCCTCCTCTCCTGTAGATCACGCGGATGCAGACAGAGAACAGTGCGCTGCGGGGGGGCCAGCAGGCTGGGGGGCCAGCTGGCCATGGGGTAGGGGGGCCTGGCGGAGGAGGAGGAGGAGGAGGGGGAGGAGGCCACTGGCAAGGGGGTGGGATGAGAGGAGGAATAGGCGTAGGGGGTCTGGGTGGGTTCGGGCCAGGAGCTGACCCCCCGGGGCTCTCGGTGCCCTCCTCTGTCGCCCCCCACTCCCATCCCCACCGGAGGGACCGCCAGGCCTTCTCAATGTACGAGCCAGGGGCGGCTCCCGGCCCCACGGCCCATGGCCCCCCAGCCTTGGACTCCCTGGCAGCCCGCCTGCAGCCCCTCAACACAGCCAGCGTAAGTTAGATCTCCCCCGGCCCCTTCTACTTCCCACCTTCCTTTTGGTGGCCCTGATTGGCTCTCTTTGCCCTGATTGATGGGTTATAGCCCAATTCTGATCTCTCCATTTCTCCCTTCGGCTTTCTCTCTCCCTGCATCTCAGTTCCCGATCCTTCTCTTTGAAAGGTCCAGTTGTGCATGATCCCCATTTAAATGTGACAGCACGTATTTGTCTCAGAACAATGACCATAATATAGCACCATAAGGGGGAAGCACATAAGTGTGACTTAAAGGAGAAAGATGGAAAATAGGGATTGTGTTGTCTGTTTGGTTGCCTGGTAACACCTCTGATTTCTCCGCTCTCTAGCCTGCTCTGCACCGTTTAACCTTTACGTTTTCAACCCTTGTTAACCTCCCAGATAGCTCCCCTGCTTCTGGACAGTTGCTTAATGTAGGAGTTACTCACACACATACGCGAGTGCACACACACACACAAAGGGAAAGTCCGAGCGATGTCTCTGTCTCTGGTAAAGCAGCTGATACAACAGACAACTAGGTGACCAGTTAGAACTTGGAGCAGCAGCTTTTAGCCTACAGCAACACATATAAAGCTACAGTACCCAAACACACCACCCGTCACCACCACTGTCAACCTTCTGTGGACCTCCATGGAGCCGTTCAGCTCACCATCTCCGTACACAAAGATTTACCTGTTTGTCTGTTTTCTTTCTGTCTGTCTGTCTGTCTCTTCACCTGTCTGTCCCTTGCTCACTGCAGTGCAGCCGTGCATCCTTTGGATGTAAGCATTCTGTCTGTCATTGCATTGTTTGCCATTTCATCAAATGTAGGATTTGCTCACATGCAACTATGCACCACTTCTGCTTATTATGCATTCTAATAATGGAGATCAACATTAGTGTAAAACATACGTAGTCCTGTTTAGATCCCCTGTGTGATGTATAGCTGTTCATCACTAGTTAGTTTAGCTGCGAGCGTTCTTTGAATTTAAGTGTAGATATCTATAGAGGCTTGTAGTCTTGATGGGATGATGGGCGAGCTGCCGAGTTGATCTGACGCTGCTCTCACTGGCTCATTCATCTTGTTTTTCTGCTGATTATATAAAAAAAACATCTCTTCTCTCTGTCCCCACACTCTTTTGTTCATGTTTCTTCATCCATCTCTTTCTGCTAATCTTTCATTCCCCTCTTCATCTCTTTGTCCACACATCTCCCCTTATCTCTACCCTTCCATCTCTCTCTCCCTCTCTCCATCCTTGTGTTCCCCTCTTTTCACAGGTAAGGAAGGGTGGTACAGGGGGTCCGACGCCATATGGAAGCCAGCATCTGTCTGGATCTACAGAGATGGGCAGATATATGGTGAGCTCTTCCAGGTTACAGTTTACATGCTGCCCTCAGTCCATTTAGAAAGTCCAGATTACAGGATTACATTGTTTTGTCTCCTAAAATACTGTAAGGGCTTGGAATATTGACCCTAATCCTGCATTTTTAGTACAGAAAACCTCTCATGATCCTGTTGGAAAGGTCTACACTACTGTGTTTAAAAACCAAACTTCCCTTTACTCAAATTTGACTGTAAAATATTTTAGAGAAGCAACCAGAATGAATATTTAGAGAGTCAAAACTGTTTATTTGAAACAACTCCAACAACAACAATGAAGTCTATGTCATTTAGTGGACATAATAATAATCCCCTTCACTGAGAACAAAGACTTGAACTTTGTGGGGTGCTCTGCAGGAGTGAACAGCTGGGGAGTTTTGGTGAGGTGGGTGATTGCACTGATGGACCATGGTTTTGCTGTGTTTCCCTCTCCAGGTCTCGAAACCAGAGAAGCACGGCAGTGGCACTGACAGCGACTATGACAACACACAAACATACGACCTCTCGCTAAGGTCAGACCAACTGCAATACACTGTACTCCCAAGGATTGTGTTTAATCTGTAGTTTTTTGGAAAGAGTTTTACTAATTGTTAGTACCAAATTCCTGCTTTTCCTGTGTTATAATTCATATTTGAGAAGATCATTTTATTCTGAAACTAGAAGATAATGCCATAGGACATAATTGAGATTATTCGTCATCTAAAGCCCTTAAACTATTTGCAAATGAGTTAATATTTTGTCATTAAATCACCATTACAATTTGTTCCCAAAATGGATATGTCAAACAAAAAATTTGGTACATTTAGTTCACACATTGATATGGGGGTTAATGATCTTTACTAACAGTTGTTAATGAGGAAAAACAGGCGGTCTCTTGAGATGTTGAACACACACTGTGTTGAGATGATAAATGGCCTCTGTGGCTTTCAGCTCTCCGCTTTAGCCCAAGGTGTTAATTAAACTGTATTTATGTGTTTCTCTTGTCAGTATGGGCCGCAGCAGTGAGGAGGAAGGCCGTGGCGATTCTGAGGAGGGAGGCGGTGGGGAGTCAGGGGAGCCGGACCCCACCCTGCCCTGCACAGAGGATGTCATACTGAAAACTGAGCAGGTGACCAAGAACATCCAGGAGCTGCTCAGGGCCGCTCAGGAGTTCAAACACGACAGGTAGGTGTGAGACGCCCAGTACACTCATTCTTTACTCAAGAAGTACAGATACCTGTGTAAAAAAAAAGACTCGGTTGGTTTCTCTAAAGGACGTTTCTGCCGACTGTTTCTGTGCAAAACTAATTTTGGTGTTATTTGACTATACTAATAGCAAGAAAAATGTCCTGAACTGGATTAGAATATAATCATACATTAACTATAACGAAGTATTGTTTCAAGAGCAGCAACTGTAAAGTTTACACAGCAAAGCTGTTCCCAGCCCTCTGTCCTGCAGAGGAGAGGACAGAGACGCACGACCGCAAATGACAGCAAAACATGGCAACACGAGGTTCAAACTGTGACTCCTTTTTTAAAATGTAGTAGAATGTACAGATGTTTGTGTATAAATTTAGGGGGTAAAAGTAAAAAGTTGTCATACTCAAGTAAAGTACCTGAAAAAACTACTGAAGAACAATCAGTAAGTATTTGTACTTTGTTAATTCCCACCTCTGAAGACGCCACACAGATAGTACTAAAAATATTTTGTCTGCCTTAGACTAATCACTACTAATTATATCCTTGCTGACAAGTTATCCTCTTAAATGGATAAAACATTGAGAAGTCACAGGAACATCTAGCACCAACCATCTTTTTTTTAAACCTGAGATTCTATTACATTTATACACCCTTATTAACAGCTGCACCGGCAAGTTGGTGTCTAGCTCAGTCAGAGAACGGCCATTGTTGAGGGGATTCAAAATTGTGCACTCATGGTGTGTTACACAGATTGCGTGTATATTCAATTGCCCATAAAGATTAGTCCAAAGTGTCATCCTGTCAGCTACTAGTTCAAATAACAAATTTCTCTCCTCTTTAGTTTTGTTCCATGTTCCGAGAAGATCCACTCCGCTGTCACTGAGATGGCCTCACTCTTTCCCAAAGTGAGTTCCCTGCACTTATGTTTCATTTCTCCCGTTGTGTGTCTCTTTTTCTCTTTCTTTGTCTGCTTTGCTCTCTTTATCTCGCTTGATCTGTTTACATCCTCCTCCACCTACCATGTGAGTTCAGTTTTGATTCCCTTCATTTCTCCGTAGCGGCCAGCGTTGGATGCGGTCCACTGCTCCCTCCGCCTGTTGGCTTCCAGTGCCTCGCGGTTGCAGGTGGAGTGCCGCAAGGCGGCGCCCTCGGATCCTGGGGCCCCTGCAGTGGACTACCAACTCCTCACTCAGCAGGTCATCCAGTGCGCCTACGACATCGCCAAGGCTGCCAAGCAGCTGGTCACCATCACCACTCGTGAGAAGAAACAGTGACCTAACAAATGCATGGATGGATGGAGAGGGAAGAGGGAGAGGGAACAGATCAATGCATGGGTGGGCTAAGAGGGATGGGAGGGGCTTCCAGGAGAGGAAGAAAGAGGGGGGAAATATGATCACACTATAGATGGGAGGATGAGGGAGGGGGAGTGATCGAGAGAATGATGGGTGCGATGAGGAAAGGAAAAGTTTGGAATATGCATGGAAAAGGAATCAGATGGAAGCAAAGAGAATTGATTGTTGTTGACCGAAAAAAGGAGAAATTCCACAAGTGTGGAAGTAAAAGTAGGGAAGGACGAGGGGACGGATCCAACATGGAAACTACAGCCTGCTGCAACCTAAATAAACTGTTGGGATCAGATGTGTACAATAAACCGCTTAAACTGTGATAAGCGTACGTGAAATACAATGGTGGCGATGTACAGTGAACTGGATCCTGATGTTACCGCTTTATTTATTCTCACCTGTCACTCGTCGTCCCTCCCTCTCCCCGTTTACCTGACCCAGGGAGGGAGGAAGTGTATGCTGCGAGAGAGGGAAGCAGATCAGACCAACCGTGACGTACTCCTCACCATCTCCGTCCCGCCGTCCTGGGAGGAGTCAGGACGTTTCCCCTCTCTGTTCCTCTCTCTCTTTCTCTCTCCAACCAGGCCCTCCCTGTTTCCTATCCCGTCTCAGACAGGATGAGCTCCCGGTGCAAAGAAGGACCCCTCTTGGGGGGGACCCATCTAGCTCCACCCCACTCCACACCCCACCCAGGCTCTCAGATGCTTCCTCCTGGGTTAGCTTTTGCAGGGGGCTGCAGCTTTTCTCCAACCCATCACCCCCCCCTGTTGTTGGTGGTACACAGCATGATCTGGCATGTTTTCATTTCTTTACTTTCTCTTCTTTTTGTTTTTTTCTTCTTTTTGAATATGCAGATTGTTGTGGTCTGCACCTCTGAGGACAGAAATTACTGACAAAACAAACACTTACACTGGAATAATTGTGATTTATTGTTGTTTATCATGCCTATTGTTTTTTTTTTTGTATTGATATTTTTACGGACTGTCATCTTGATTTAACTGTTTATGTATGTTTATTTTATTGTCTCAAATATGATTCTCATTTAATGGAATAGGGAGACAGGTGATGAGTATGTGCTCAACCTCTTACTGGGATTTAAGTACATGTGCACACACACACACACACACATAAAGAAGTAACCTGTGAAATGGTCCTCAGCATTTCTCAAGCACTCTTTGTCTGGGTGACACTTGAGTTGTTTTGTTGTTTTCATGTTATATTATGTCCTGTGGCCAAGGGGCTGAACAGTTGCCAAAGGGGAGAGGGTTGTAGGGGGAGGTTTGTTTTTGGTTTTGATTTTCCGTCAGACCGAAAGCCCCTTGGTACAATATGACAGGACCTGGATCAAAATGCTCTTTTAATGCATCCTCAGCTGTCTGTTTGGGTCTGATTTATCTTACCAATTGCCTCATCTAACAGAGCCAGTGGAATCATCTCAGAATCAATCCCACATTCATTTTTTTTGCTGTGCCAAGCAGGATAATAACATTTGGTGTAGGTCGTGTACGAGGATGTTACCCGCCCCCTCCCAGTCTCGCTTTAAAGCAGTATGGTATTTACATGGCGGGTGCAGTCCCTGGGTGCTTGTGTTACGCAGCAGCCCTTATTTACATGCATGTAAACAAATGGTTCAGTCACATTAAGTTGATACACATACTGGTATGTTGCAGTTAAGCTTTAAGTAGTCCTGTGGAAAGCAGACACACCCAGCAACCTGGAAAGTAAATACGGTGAGAGATACTCATCACATCATTTCATCTGAAATGGATTTAGCCACCTCACGTGGGCTTGATGTAGCTCGCAATGTAGTATCTTCACTTGTCCGACTGTCTGGCAAGCACAGCGAGGCCCAGGTTCTGTTTAATCGATTGATTCTCTGTCACGGCCTGCTGATCTGGGCCACGGAAGTTGTGACTTCTAGCTCACTGTCTCTGAACTCTGCCAATGGGGAGACAGCATTGGGAACAAAGATGTTTTTTTCTTCGTTTGTTTGTTTTTTCAAAAAGATAGCGCACTTAGCCTACTGTAGGTTTAAAGCTTGTTGTACTGTGCCGAACAAAATATGGTCGTATCTGTAACAAAGGATGCAGACGGGACCTACTAAGTCTTTCCTAGCTGCCACGAGGACCGTCCTCTTCTAGTTTAGATTCACCTCTAAACCCTTCTCCAATGACCGGCTGGTTTCTCAAAGTGTTTGCGGCTTTAATAGTTGGTTGTTCTTGCATCGGTCTATTCTATATTCACACGCAGTAGGCCTCTGCACATTAAATTTACTCGCCTGAAACAGACCTCATCCTTCACACAGCGGTTACATCTCAATCTCTTCCTTGTATGGCTGCCTTTTCGCAAGAAGCAATTAGACCTTAATTAGCCCCAAACACTTTGAGAGATTGACGCTAGACCTCCTTCAGCACTTCTCTGTCCACTTTATTCATGTTTTATCTTTCACTTTTGCCCCCCTATCATCGCTTGGGGTCTCTGACTGTCAGCGTTTGTCAGTCTCTCACAAGATTGCACGCGTCTCTGCAGGGGAGGTGGGATTGTTTGCTCTGTTGCCTGTCAAAACAAATCGTGTCCCGAAGACTCATGAAATGTATCAATGTTTGCTATCGAATGCCTTTGGACATCATCATCTCCTCTTTGATTGGCTGAGTTGCAGTGATGTACCGACTGCTGGAACGACAGCAACCACACACACTGACACGCACGCACGCACACACGGGGGGGGGGGCAGCAGAGTAAAGCTTGTCCCTTCAATCATGATTGCCCAAGTTTTAGATTAGAGCCATATCTATGAACGTATATTTTCATGCTATATTTTATATTAAGCTATATGTTAGGGTTATGTCTGCGAGATATTTATGTCCATTTGTTGGTCCAAGTGGGCTTCAGGCCACAGAATCTATTCACCAAATCTTCTTTCAGCTCTTTAGTCTTGACACCAATGTACTTGTAGATATTTTGAGTCTCGTGAGTATGGTTATGCTGTGGTATTACCCCCTGATGTAGTTAGATTGTACATATTATCGATCCCACTGGAATCCACAGGAAGCGAAGCGCGAGAACAACGAGTTTGATGTAGGCGATTACTCAACAGTGTGGTCTAAGTTGCACTATTTTCAAACACCAGCTGGGTGGAGTAGGATCTACATTATGTACTGCACTCTCCCAAAGGTCTTAGTTCAAGTACATTAGGTGCAGGATGCGGGGTTTGAATTCGGGATGGGGGGGGGGAGGGATAGGAAAGGTCTGAAGCGCACTTCGGCTTAGCACTACAGTCATCTCAAAAAGGGCGGGAGGAGGGTCTTAAAATGCACATGGCCCAGTCCTTCCCCGAGTTAGTAGACACTGCGTAGGATGCCTCTAGTATGAATGTTAAATGCTTCCATCGGTTCATGTCCAACACACTTTCTACACCTTCATCATTCAGCACATACTTTCCAACTTCACACAACAACACACACCCTCAACTTATCAGTCGGACCAAGCCTTGTACAAGTACAAACATTAAATTTGCAGCGAGTGAATTATACACACACACTTCTGATAGTCAGCCATTGGCAGTGCACTGTGGCCTGTACTGTTGCTGTCCCTGTGTTTCTTCACAGCTCTACACTTTGGGAGATGGGTGACGGGAGAGTTATCTTTTAACAGAAGACGTTAAAAACTGTATAAAGTAGAGAAAACAATGACTTAAAAAGGTCAATCGTAATGGAAACTCATAAGCTGTACATTTGTAATAAAATAGTAAAACAAGTTGTGGGTCTGCCTCTTCAGTTTCTCCATACTGTGTGGATGCTTACTGTAATAGGGGCAGGTGTGTGTTTACATGTCTGTAATGTGTAAGGACAGTTTCAGTCAGTACCCAAACCTTTCAGTATTAAGGGTAAAGTTACCAGATCCATGCTGATGATTTTAGCAAAGAGAAAGACAAACTTCACCATGGTGAGGAAATCAAATACAGCTTTGTATAAGTTGCATAACAGCTGGAAGTCTAATATCAATAAAAAATTAGAAGCAATGATTTTATAAACTGACCAAAATGTAACGTTTTTAATTATTTCATGCCATTAACTTGCATTTTGCCTAAATTTGATGTCCCCCCCCCCCACCATGATGTCATTAAGCCACATTTCATTTTATTCATTAAAAGATGATGTGATTATGTCATTGGATTTTCTGAGTCTGCTGAATATTTGTTTGTTCTTCACTTTACAAAGATAATTAACTATTTTGTTTTGTTGAGCTGGTTCTACACTCAACCCTCAGTTTGCTCATGAGGACATTGCAGCAGAGCCTCACAAGAAAAGTATATAGTTACAATGACAGGAACATATTGCATGTCTGTTTTCAAATCAATAAAGCCATATTTTTACTACACATGGTTGTAAAATGAGTTTGAGCAAGAACGAGAAGTCGAGTCAATTTAGAAAGTATCTTCATTACATTGAGCGCTTAAAGGTTTGCTGCTCAATACAATATTGGCTGATATTATGTTATTGGACCTTTTAAACACTCAAATATTGATCCTGGCATCAGTCCGGCTATAACTGCTCAGATACTAACATCAACTTTTGGTGCAAAGAGACAGGAGAAAACATGCTGACATCCACAACAACTGTTTCAAACAGCAGCAGTCCACACATTCAACGCTTCTGTGAAATGTATTGTCCTTGTAAATCCTTCTGGAAAACCTGTCCAAAAACCCTTCAAGGTTCAGCTATTCACATGTTCGTACCATTGGATGACGACAAGACACAAACTGCACACAGCGTTGCTTAGAACAGCAACTTACATATTCACATACAAGACTTTCACAGGTGAAAGCAACATGGCGGTACTATAGAACTACTTATAAACAGAACCAAACAATGACAATAATCCTAGGATAGAAAAATGGACCTTAACTGGAGACTTGATATTGATTGTAATACATGGAGTGAACAAAATGAGGCGTATACACTGTGTGATGTGTAGGAGAGTATGATCACATATACTGTATTTTAAAGTCATTTAAAGAAATCTGAGGGTCACTAAATACAACCTGAGGGCTTCTCTTTGGACTGTTGACGTAATCTTTTTAAATCTATGGCAGTGTTCATTTAAATTTGTTAAGAAATGATTTACCTCTGTGTTCTGGCTGTTTACAATACAACGCTTATTTTGGATGCTCAAAAGAAATGTTTTTTTCTGTTCTGCGTTCCATGGCTTCCTTCACAAGAAGAAACAGATATAAGAATCTAAACAGTCCATATGCAACCAATGAGAGAGGGCCTCGTTTGTCTCTCACAGTCCAGTATTCACCTCCTCTACATGCATTGAGACTTGGTTGCATTCTTGAGGGCTGTTTCCTTCATTTTTCTACGGATGTTCATCTGAGCTGGAGGAGCTGGGCAGCAGAACACACTCCTGTCTTCTGCATCTTTTCCGCCTCCTCTTTGCAATTCGTAGCCTCCTGCGGATCACATCTACAGGACACACACACACACAAAATATGAAATAAGCTACTTAAGAATATAAACAAAGACACCCTGTTTCCTCCACCTGAGGTTATGTTTGTCTGTTGTCTTAATTAGCAAGATTCCCCTCCACTTAAAATGGACGTTTGAGCTTCTCTGTGCAGAATGAGGTCTGTGCTGTTTGACGCCTACCTGCCACGCTGTCGTAGTCCTGCTGTGGGTCGTGCCAGTAAAGACTGGGCATGGTCCTCCAGTGGCGGTACAGGCGCGTGTGAAGCACGGACAGGGTTAGGAGAACCAGCAGGAAGCCGAGCGCCGCTGCTGCCCACACCGCCTCGTCTGTCCTGGGGGTCCTCGGCAACCCCTTATTCACAGCGGCGGCTCGGGCCTCGGCCCCCAAGTCCTCGTCGCATTCACAGCGTTCGCCTGCTTTGCAGCTGTCACAATCGTGGCTGTTGGGCACGTAACTGAGCGGCTGTGGGTTTGGGTTTTGCTGCGGCTGGGAAAGAGGATCTGACTGGGATTTGGAAACTGATTCAAAGCCAGTCTTTTGACTTTTGTGGTGAGAGTGTTTGCCACTGTGTGTTTGCTTATGTTCCAGCTCTCTCTCTTTAACATCTACTACTTCATTATCCTTCATCATGCCATCTGCTGCGCTGTCTTTATCAGAGTCTTTCTCTTTGGACCCTTTCATGCGGTGTTTAACAGAGTCTGTACCTTCGTCTTTGGAGTTGAGGGACAGGGCTTCAGGGCTGGCAGTATGGTTACGTTCATTGTTCACACCATCTGCAAGAACATCCAACCCAGCAGAGGGGTTTGGGTTTTGGAGGGTAGTGTGTTTTAGACTTGGATTCTGTGCTGCTGTCTGTACCGTTAACCTGCTTTTCTGGGACTCCGTTGATCCTACAGAGTCAGTTCGGAGTGCAGTCTCAGGCATATTTGACCCCAAAGGAGTTGTGGGCCTGGGTGTAAGGCTCTGATTTATGTTTTGGATCTTAGACTGAGAGGGATCTTCCTTCAGGCCCGGAGGATCCGAGAGAGTCCTGTTCCGTAGAGGAGAATCTTCTGGTGGTCCAAGCGTGCTGTTGTAGCTCTGACCGTCCCCTGTCCTGCTGACGGTAGTTCTGTCGTCTGTCTGTACAGCTGCTCTTATCTGCCTGATTTTGCCTCTATCTTTAATTGGTTTCAAGCTTTCCTTCTTCGTGTTGGACTCTAGCTCTGCCTCCATTGCTCCATTCAGCAGGGAAGAGACGGTCTGCTCACAGCATCGCCCCAGAGACTCCTGGGGATTTACAGTAAGAGCGACTTAAAGACAACTACAGGACTACAGAAATGACTGTTCTATGTTGCTTTTATTGCGGTGCATGTAAAATAACTGCTAATTAATCAGAACAATATCAGCACAGTCTGAAAGTCTCCAAACCTTCATTTTTGCGGAGTGTTTCTCTGGATGTGCATGTTCAGCTGACCAGGTTAACAGCAGGTTGTACTTCCTGCTCAGGCGCACACCACCAAACTCATTTGCTCTGGATGCTGTGGTCTCCAGCCAATCACAGACGTCCGAGGAGGCCACTGTGGTCAGCTCCAAGGTGCGACCCCAGGACACCAAGGCTATTGGCTGAACAGAGCAAACAACACACTCAACAAGGACCAACAACAATCCGGCAAAACCACAAGGATTTGGCGAGACAACACATTATGTAATAACTAGTATTTGACAACTGCAATTTAGAATAAGTGAGCTACTCTTTAGGTCGCACCTAATTATTTGTAATGGCTTTAATGTGGACAAGCCAACAGAACTGATTATATTTCAGATCAACAGTACCAGGCTCCTACTTATACAACTACTATCTATGTACTAACTCCCTATGAGCCGCTCCCTCAGACCAGCTGATGGTGTTTTTCTGGTCGTTCCCAGAGACAGCCTGGTGACCAAAGGCAATCTGGGTTTTGCAATCTGGGCCCCCAACTCTGGAATGACTCACCTCCTGAGATTAGGCTTGCTATAACTGCCACTGGTTTTATATCTCTCCTAAGAAGCTTTTCTCTCTGTGTGAATCTTATTTTATTTCAATTATTTATTCATATTTTGTTGGTTTTTTGTGAAGCACTTTGTAACACTGTTTAGAAAAGAGCTACGCAAATAAAATGTACTTATTCTTCTTCTTATTATTCCTGTTATTATTGTTGCTATTATTAGCATTATCATTATCACTATTATTAACATTAGTAGTAGTAGTAGTTTTTCCAGTACACCTGCCAATGTGTCCCTGAAAACAACTCTCCCACAGCTGTGCCTAGTTTCATGCCTTACGCGCCAACTTATAAATCATTTGTTATTTTGTTTGACATAGCTTAATGAAAACCAAATGTTTTGTTGTTGTTTAAGATATTTGTATTTTTTAGTAATAAAAGTCCTAATAAATGATAACAGGGACAAAAACGCTACCTACTGTATATTAATGCTTCTCCTAAAACAGTGGTGTTTACAGGGCTCCCGCACCTTCTTATACATCAAATTCAAGAACACAATGTGGTCCGTGTATAATGAAGTCGACTTTCAAGTATTTCAAGCCTCTGCGGAAACCATGTAAGTATCTTTCACACTTACATGAAGGTTGTTAAAACCTTAAACGTGGAGTAACAGTTACCTGATAGGCCTGGTCTTTGCTCAGTCAATACAAAATAGGTCTATCTGTGAAAGCGTGGCGTTGAGTTACACCTTCTGCTGTGCTCAGGTATTACAGCTAACAAAGTAAAGACGTCAAAGTGTGCAAAGTTCAATTCATTTCCACCAGTGAACCGAAATATGTAGACTTACTGCTTTTTGTGGGTCAGAGCTAAAGAGTTTGTCTCACCGTGTCTGTATTGAGCTGTGGATGTGGGGTCATGATGTAGTCTGGCAGGCAGGAGCGGGCCAGGGCGGACAGAAGGAGACGCTCGTGGAGAGGAGCACAGGGATGGTAGAGCAAAACAGTAGCTGCATGCTGGAAAATACAGGAATACACAATCACAGGCACACGTGACTATCAGTGTAAGAGCTTACAATAATGTTAATAATTGTTTTTCAACTGACAAAGATTCCTCGGGGGGGAAATGTCTGCTTTCCTTTGTGGAGGAAAAACAGCTGACAACCACCAATTAATGTGTTAAACCAACAGTGATCTACAGTGCATTCTGGTCTACAATGGTCCATTAATATAAATCCCAGACATGCTATTACCATTTGTTAAATCCCTGATAATCAAGGAAATCCGTGTTCAGCAGGTACAATGTGAGTGTTGACAGACTTCTTAATTTAGGTCACAAGGAAACAATACGCCGATTGTGTCAGACGGACTGGGAAATAAAACAAAAGGGACTGTGGTCAAACTGGTAACAACTGATCCGTCAGTCTGTCTACAACCACTGAACTCCTCTATGCTTCTGTCAAGCCCATTTGTCAAAACGATGGCATCTTAAGGAAAATAAATAAGGCATTTGAACATCCAAAAATGCACCACAGTACCATGTTATAACACAGCTTCTACATAATATATGGAGCCATGGCATTATTAGTGGCATTTGAGGGTGCCTATTGGTGTGGCATGAAGCAACCACTAAAGATCATGTTGATGTAAAAATAAACGTTAGTCTCGTCACTGA